TACTTTCTTTACTACTCTCTCTCTCTCTCTCTCTCTCTCTCTCTCTCTCTCTCTCTCTCTCCTTTCCTTCTCGGTTGTAACATAACTTTTCAGTGTGCAACGAAACCAGTTGCCCTTTACTTAACTTCGTCTTCTCCGCGAATAAACCGCGTTGACATTTATAACCTGCAATTACCGGCGCGCGTGTTAATTAACGCCGTGCAGAAATGAAGACCGCGCGAATCGTTACGTTTGTTTCGCTCGCTCGCAAAACGCAGAACAAATGAGACGAGATAGGTGTCACCCACAATTCACAAACAACGGCCCAAATTCGCGTTTTCGAGGTCAGGCGAAAGTGACGCTCCTCGTGTTCGCGATAACCGATTTCTATTTTTACAGCATTTAGAATAAATGAGTATTAGTTACTTTCTCGTAGTTGTTGCTGTCGAATCGTTGTTATTTGCAAAATGCGTCTCAGCCGTATCCACGGATCGCAGAATTTAATTTCACCAAGCTGAATTAGACGTCGCAGTAGACTCTTTTATCCATCTAACAATGAAAAGAGCTGATTTGCATAATTTGGGATAATTTAACGTCCTATCGTCTTTCGTCTAGAATTGTCGTCGAGAATCGGTTTTTTAGGGAAATATATTGTTCAGCCCGACCGAACCGAGTAGCAATAAGACAAATGATAAATGTCACACTGATAATGCAGCGCTGTGCCCAAACTCGTTTTTGCGAGGTCAGATAAAAAGCGAATGTTGCATTATTCACACGAGATTTCTGCTTTTATAATTTGGGATAAGTTTAGTCATCTCGAATGGCCAGTCGTTCTTTTATCTTCTCTTTACCAGCTGTTGTGCCGTGTTAAAGTCGTCTTCTTTTTCTAAAATGTATATTTTACATTTTACGATTGTTTGCGCAAATTGCTAAAGTTAACTCGAACGAAATCGAGCAGCAGAAAAAATTAGATGTCACACGGCGAACGCAAACAATGGCCTAAATTCGTATTGTGAAGTCTGCTTCTAGGTGAAAGCATTTTTTTTCTGCGAACCAATTATGTCGTAGACTTTTAGTTTGCCGTGATGATAACGCGTCTCTTCTGCAGCATGTGACTCGTAACGTAGCTTTTAATTTTACCCAAAATAAATAACTTTGCATAATGCGTGTGCATAATGATATTAATTATGCGAAGGCATCGCGAATAAATCAATTTTCACCGGTCACATAACAATTGTCGTAATTGAAATCTGCATAAATTTATAAATTTTATTACGTAAAAATACTTTCATCGCTCGAATTTCATGACCCAAATAAATAATTAATAAATTTTTATTCAGAGGCAACATTAGTGACTATAAAGATGCATTAGTACATTTTTACAATCGTGTGAAGGTATTTGACGGCGAAAAGTTGAATGGAACGCTGACATCTTCTTCGCCAGAACGCAACGAATTTATTACTATATTAAAGATAACAACACAAAGACTTGAATATGATACTACTTGGAAATTACTTAACGACTGCATAAATAACTTTCGATTCAAAGCGATTAAAATTCATAAACAATACAACATAATGGATAGTTTGCAACGTTATTGTGTGAATTCTGATTCCTTATAGTAATACATAGAGTCACCCATGAAACCGTCGTTATTGTTGCAGTAAGGCTGAATATATTACTCACAGGCTAGAAATTATCGTTTCTTCTTAAAACAATGAGACACGTGTGTTTTCGCTCTAGTGTGATCGCTTTTACTTCTGGATCGTAATTCCCATAGATTTCTCCGCACACGAGCTAATTCTCTTTGATTTGCAATCTTCAATTCTTTACATAAAATTGAATCGGACATTTCAGAAAAGACAAGAAAGCCGTAGAAAGTAAACTTATCAGAACAAATAACAAAACTGTTGCGATCGCTCATGTCAGATACCTTTTTTTGTCAAAGATGTGTTATTAGAAATTGCAAATGGACAGATAAATGTGTAGAGAAACAAATAGAAAAACAATTTATAAATAAAATATATAGAGATTCTTGCACACCGTTTTTCACATCTTCAAATTTTATATTCTTCGAAAAAAAATAGTTTCTTTCAACATACTTTTTTATACCAAAATAATTTTTCACGTTAATAAATTTAGAAATTTTTGAAATTAATATATTTTAATTTTGTACAGCTTGATGCATGGCTTAATTATTTAAATGCACAAAATGGACAACTTTCAATATTGATAACTTTTTTAATATTTTATATTCAAATTACGAAAGATCAAAATGCTCATTTTCATGATTTAAGATTAATTTGCGTCCACGCACGCTTACGTTTTCAACGATGTCATTTAATAATTCATTTTTAACGAGCTTGTTTCCTTTTAAAATTTTGGCTGTCATAAGATAATCCTGACGGGCGCATTATACTGACAACTCAGACAGAAATATTAATTTTTCTTTACCTTTCTTTTTCACAATTTGCTTAGATTCATTTATTATTATATTTGTTTAATAAGCATGAGAATTTTCCGAGTGTATTGAGATTGATAGATAATGTAGATTGATAGATACGTGTGTATTCGAAACTTTCGGTGCTAGTACGCCGGCGTTAATCCGACTGCAACTAAAACTTTCCTTCCGGGATCGCTCGCATCGTACTCGCTCGCATTCAACAACGCACTCTCATTTCTCCGTGCGGTGATTTTCAATTCCAGGCATGCGTGAACCCATCATAGAGATTTTAATTTCGATTTTTCATTTTCACATTTTACCGGGTGTGGCGAAAATTATATAATCACGTGAGATTTCCTCATCGCGCTCTATGTGCCAATGAGCGAAATTCCTCTTTTCATCCGCTCGTGCAATAAACATGATTATCATTTTCGTAAAAGCGTTATCGGATGGAATATCAGACGAAATGTTTTAATTGCCCGTGCAACTAAATGTCAATGTGCAATAAATCGATCGATGGAAGAAAGAAAAATGAAAAAAAGGTGATTGTATTCATAATTAATTGGTGCGTTTCGCGTTGATTTAATAATATTGATAAATAAACTCCAAATTTTACAAGAAAGGGTTTAAATGTAGATAAATAAATGTCGAGCGAAATTTTGTAAGCTTTTGAAGGTATTTACCTTCACCGCGTTTACCACTAATTATTGTTATCCTTTTTTTTACTAACAAGGCGACAATATTTTTTGTTTCAGTGATGTGACGCAACCAGTCAGGAATATTTTTATGCAAAATGACTCGCGCCCTTGTCCTTCTCTGCATGGCCATCTTACTACCTCTCGTACGATGCCACAAGGTAAGATTGCAGTCAAATATCGTTAAGATCTGCTCAAGGATACGTCGTTATTCCGTGCAATTGCTCGTTTGAGACAAAGAGTACGCGTGTATATGTACAAGAATAATTTTACTGAATTGAAGCGGCGAACGCGACCGCAGAGAGTGCGACGACGGCTCTAATCACGTCGAGGTGAGTTCACGGTACGCGAGTAGAGTGCCTTCTGACTTACGCATGTTCTCTTCTTTTCTTCTCGTTCTGATTATTATACAAAATTACGCGGAAAATAATTTTAACATTTTATTCTTAAATGATTCTTTGCGGTACCTTTGTTTACTTGAAATTACATTTGCGCAAAGATATTTCATAGATTTAACTTTGAATATTATTTAGCGTAATTGCAACAAATCCAGGAATTAATTATCTTGAAGCTCGATAATGTGAGAAAAATTAATGACATTTCGTAATATCGTGTGCAGCTCGCGGCGAATGTTGGGTGCGCCAATTATTTACGAGAAAATTATTTTCCAATAATCATCAATGATCGCAATCAGGTTTGCGTGAAATTCATACGAATAAAGTAAAATTAAATTTTTTGTTATAATTTATTTTAATAAATTAGAAATATTAAGAAATTTATTGATTCAAGAAGTTTAAAAATCGCATACTTTAAACATTGTTTGTAGCGAATTTTTTTTTAAATTGAGTGTAAAACATGCTTTATTATCTTGTTAATAAGAGATTAGTAGCATTTACAATCGTATTATGTGTCAATAGTCGTCTCGTAATTAAAAAAAGTGCGTGAAAAAAAGAAGAAAGGATTGCGATTAATGGCACGTTACGATTCAGCACGCGTCGGTCGAGCGCGTCATTTTGTTGCAGATAATCATCACGAGCGTGGTCAATGGCCAGCTCTCCTCTAACTTACGTAAGAATTTCGTGTACAAAATTGCAATAAAATCATCGAACCATTCATCGTTGTTTAGATGCGTTGCTTTTCTTTCGATTTTTTTTTTTCGAGAAATTTAAACATTAATCACAATCGCGCAATTCTTGTAACTGTGTTTGAGAGTTGCGTTATTTTCACTCTAAACATAAACAAAAAACCGAATTTAAAGTGTCAGAAACTTCATCGCTAAAATCATGGTTGCGAATTATATGGAACAGTCTGCATTTGTGTGTAGCTTTTGTTAGATCACAATCAATAAAATATTAAAATGCGATACATAAAAGAGTTACAAATCAAAAGTGACGCATGTATAATAGCTTATAGAGATCTTAATAATAAAATATTAAGCTGCTGAGGTCATCTCGATGAAGTTGTGTATCTGTACAGGTAGTAATATCTCGAGCGAGATATTAATGAAAATATCAAAGCGTAGATCGTACGATTAGCATCTACGATTAGCACCTGACAGACAGCGTGAATGTTTAATCGCGAATGAAGCGCAATACGGAAATAATATACATCCGGTAATTGACACATAACGTAATTGAACGAGAGGCGCCACTCAATAATGACCGAATCATCGCGAATAAACGGCTGGAGCTGGTCGAACGGTCCGTCGCCTTACGTAAATCTCTCTTTCATCGTCTCTTGGTCTAATAGTTAGAAAATGATACAAATAATTACTTTCAAATGAGATTACGCTCGCAATTTCCGGCAGCCGTTCCACATGATTTACATGGATCTCGCGATGTACTTGTTGGGTCGGCAAAGACCGAAAGCGAAACCGGAATACCGCTGTCGAGAGAGTAATCTACTTTTCACAGAGGAGAAACGGACGGCGTTTCTATCGATTGACGGTTTTCTGCTCACAGACGCGTGAAACACGTTACGATTAAAGCGTGCGATTCGCTCGCGTTACGGTTAACGAGTATTACAAAATTCATTGTCGGCGACCGGAGCTATCGCCATGAGAAATTCTCAGTTAACAGCTATTTCACTTGAACACGGAATCGCTCGTGTAAACGAGACGTCTTATAACTTTAATCTCTAAACGATAAAGATAAATTTCCCAATAAATGTGAAAACTCGTCGATTTTAACGTAAAAGCTGTCGAAGCGTTGATGGTTTTCAAGTTTTTATGTGCGGAAAGAAAAATATTTCTTGCAAACTAATACATTTTGGATGTCTGGATAAACGAAAGACTCAACGCTTTGTTTCGCCATAACCAGGGCGGTGAAACAACCGTAAATCGATCGACTCCCGATCGGACGTTCGATAATAATGAGCGAAAGTGATCGACCTTAGAAGTTCCCGCGCTTTGATCGTTTCATTGCTGCAGCTCGATTTCTGTGACACACGCGCAAGTAAACGCTATTAAATGGTAGAAGCAGACCTTGAAGCGCGATTGGAAAACTGAATACGCATTCATAGCTGTTGATCACAACTCGTCGTACCGGACGAGCCGCGGTTTCTGAGAACACTTGAAAAAGTCGCTTCAGCTCTAAACAACCTTATTAATCAAATTATAGCGCTCATTATCTTACATATGTAAAGGTCTTATTAAACAGAATTTACATACGAATCGCGTAGCTTATTATTTAAAATTATTACTAAGTAAAATAATGATTAATTAGTCTAAAATTATTATTTAGTTTTATTTCGTGAGATCAAGTCTTTATTAGCGCTAGTTGTTATTTAATCAATAAATTATTTTGTTGAGAGCCTCAGCAAAATTTCATTCGCGAATTAATCTACAAGCGCAGCGAGGGACTACCGTTTGTGACGTAACGGCACGAAGCCTGTCTTTTTGCTCGTGGGCGTTATCATCCCCAAGAATATTTCATTTCGCTTTACTATTCCCACGATATTGGTGTAATGGAGACAATAGCCAAGAAAGTACTGCTGTGACCGGTAAAAAAAAAAAAGAGCGAAATTGAAGTCGTGGAACTGTCGAGACGCGCAAGCGAAAGAATATACAAAATGACATAATGACCAATAATAACGAAATTGTAGATCCCGGAAGCTGCTCGCGAAAGGTTCTCGCACGAAATTTTTTTTTTTCTACACTCCAGTCGTTCATTTCCTTATTGAAATAATTACAGCATTCAAGTAACTGTAGCAAACGTTTGTATTAAATGAATCGGTGAAAATTTCATCTGATTTATCATTGCGCATTACACTTGTACATTTATGTATCACACTTAGAAAGCTACGATCGCTCGCATATCATGTCGCGGATTTATCCGTCGAATTGATTAAGAAAATGCGCGCGATTACGACAATCGCGATCCAGATTGCGTAAGAACATCCGGTGTTTCATTTAAGCTCATTTATGTTTCAGATCCACGAGCACATGACAAGGGAAGAGATGCTATCGGTGTTTTACACGGGACACGAGTCAGGTAATAACAGCAAAAAAGGTAACTCATGGCGAGCGTGTATGTACGCGTTTGTCTTTTCCGTTTTTCTATGTACCGTTTCTTCTGACACGACGTGAAAAAAACTCGTCGGGTCATCGATTAATTTCATTCCAACGCGCGGAGCGGAGACGCGTCGTTTGCTGTTTGAACAAGACATCTTCAGGCAATTACTAAGCGTTTTCTTTAAAATTTTATTTTAAATTTTTTTGCAGTTTTTACACGATCGCTAAACGTATGTAAAAAATTGCATAAAAATTCGAGATGTGTCTTTTTCAAGATAAAAAATTTATCCCCTTATTGGCTCTATGTGAAATGTTTCAGAATCACTTTTGAATATTTAGGTTTTACTTTTTCTTGGTGAAAATGCTGAGAAAAGTCATTTTTTACGGCTTATTAAATCAGTCCGATTAAAATTCTATTGAAACGAGACTCACGCTGAGTTAAACGACGAGTAAATTCCACCTGAAAAATGTTGTCCATAGAACATATTTACTCTCATATTTCCAATTTGACACACAAAGAAATTGAAGAATAAAAGCCGTGAATATTTTTTATGTTCGACAAACAGGCCATTAAACTCAAATTCTCCATCGTGAATCATTTTCGATGAATATTTATCGAATTCATTATTCAGAGATACATATTTAAAGATCGCTTTAACGTCGTTTTTGAAAGGTTTTTACTTAACTTGACTTTCGTAACGAATAACCACGGTTTTTTTTTAGCGACAGTCAAACGCAGATGACTCGAGAACAGAAACAATTAAGTCGCCTAGCTTGCTTTCCCCATAAAACACATGTTTGAAAACTGTTATTTTTAAACAAAAGGGGTTTTTTTTTAATACTTTGTTGGAGAACAAAGAATGATCTTACGGTGGTTGTAAACGCGTTTTGCACCCTCAAACCGCAGTGCCGCCGTACGAAGTCGTGCCCGTGTTGCATACGATCGTGCACAAGAGGAGCGTGGACGCGAAGCCGCAGATCCACTTAAGGGCCTTCGGCAAAGATATCAGCCTCTCATTGAAGCCCACGGAAGGACTGCTGACGGCAAACAGCCTCCCGATGTGGACCGTCACCAAAAACACGTCGCAACCTGACGGCCTTCATTACGAGAGGGTGAAGGATGTAAGTCTCGCGTGTAATTGCTTTGTACATTTTTTTTTTTTTTTCAAACTTGGATTTCTCTTTGTCTTTCAAAATTAGCGACAATCAAACTGGAATATTCAAGAAAATCGTACGTAATCACATTAATTCGTCGAAGTATTTTGAAAAACCATTGAATCGCTTATTTAATTCAGTTCACCGGTGAGATGTCTGGCGAAGCCGATTTTCAATCGTTTCTTTCATTCCAGGTCAACGTGGATATCGGTGACATCTATCAAGACACGGAGAACATGGCTTCAATTCTGCTGCACCACGACACAACTGGGAAAGTGCGCATTGTAAGCGACCATTCTTCTTTCTTAATGTTTCCTTTCGTCACCACCCCATTATTGCGGGTTGTCTTTCGTCAACCGGCACGACTCGCTCTTAGGACCCTTATTATAATTATAGCACTATCGCAATTTCTCGTGCCGCATAGCGTGACATTTTTGCGACGAGGATAAAACAATTACTAAAAACGAGTGGCTGATATAATTTTGGTGTAAGCGACAATCGCATTGAACAATAGCTTATCGAGTCGTGTTTGCACGAAAGCATATTACACAAGTAACGCGAATTACTTATTATTTAATTACAGCTCATCTCTCGTTACTCTGCTGGTTAAGCGAGTGTAATTGCTTTATCAGCTTAGCCAAATTTAACATCTCTTCGCCCTTGCCTCCGGCAATAAAATTAATTTACGCTTGACATTAGCGTAAATCAATAAAAATGTATATACAATGAGTCTCGTCGATGGAGATTTATTATAATTAAAATGTTGGAGCGAATGTTACTGTCCCGCTGCGAGACCATCGCCGAAAATTCATATACAGAATCGCTGGAATGTCGTTTCCGTCAAACGTGCCATGAATTATGAGAACTATATTTTATAGACATGATTTAGTGATTTTTGGTATCTTCACGAGGTAGTCGTGATTCCAGTAATTAATTAAGACCAACCGCAGATTTAGCGAATGGTACTAAAATATTAATGGACGATGATTTCTTTCGATATTCTTGCGACAGGATTTTTTTCACATTTAAATACTTTAAAAAATAGTTTTTTAGTATACAAAGGCACGATTATCTAATTGTCTCCGGATATATAACTTAGGTCACTTTCATAATCGCGGATATCATTGTCGCACATAGTCACGACGTTATATGTAGTGTGCAGCGAAGCGTACAAGGCGTAGTTACTTAAATACCGACGATATCGCGGTTTTGACATTTCCCCTTTGCACTCGCAACACCAACGTTTTCTGACTCGACGGTCTCGGATGAAAGTTCCACGCGAAGCTACTGTATCCACAAAATTAGAAGTCAAACTTTGATGCGATCGATTTTATCGCTGCAGTCTGCAATTTTAAGAGAGAAAGAAGAACGCTGCTCCTAATAATTCCGCGTTCAAAGGAGCGTGACTTGATTTCTCTTGCAAAGCTCTTAATTGCGGTTTCAGGAAGCGACTTACACGGATGTTTGCCTTTACCGCCCTTATCACATATATAGTTTCAGTAATACAAGAAGATTTCCACATCATGTTAGCGAACGTCAGAATTACTCGTGCAATACATCGGTTTCTTTAATTAAGATTTTTCCGCAAAACTTATTTATGTATTTAACGTGGGACAAATTAATTCTGGCAATTGATTTTATACGCGAAATTACGATACAAATGCGAACATAACTGGTGCAAATGCAAATGAATGTTACAATTATATCGACGTATACCTCACAGGAGTCGTGAAAGTTAATCGTAACGGTACGAAAGTACCCTCTCTCATTCACCTGCATAAGGATCCGACACGATAGGATCAATCTCGTGCGGCTTTAACGGCGACTCGCGCGTGGGAGTTGCAGTGTAATTTTTGCGAAGGCGAAACCGTAATGTCGTCCAGGCTGCGGGCTTGCACATAATATAGGCTCGATTACATAATAACGCCATAAAAGCGTTGTTCTAAGTGACCCGCGGTGTCTTGACCTTTCGCTTTCACTCCCCCTCTCTCGGAATCTCTGACCAATGCACCTTTTAGACCGGCAAGATCGAATGGCTCGATCGTGTTCGAATCGGGAATATCGCGCGAATAATTCGCCTCGCTGTATCGCAAAACACATACAGATTTCTCAGATGGAAACGCTCGATTTGAAGCACGCCTCAACTAATGATTCATATACGGTGATATTTCTACGTATAGTTTGCGCAATTCGTGAAATATAAACAGGCGGAAATCATTTTTAATTCTATACGTCATGATCAGGTGTGATGATTAAGCATAGTTGTTCCGATTGTTTCAAAGTTGAGAAATGTTCAGTAACTGCAATCGCATTTTATTTGTTAGATTTTGTCTTTCTGTTTAAGTTTATTTGATATATGATATTGTTTTCAAATTGTAATCTTCATAATTTATCTTGCGTTTTTTTATCATTTATGTCAAATTTTTTTGCAGAAAAATATATAGAAGCATTGCGGTTGTTTAAGAGAGACTGTTACAATTACAGTTAGAGCCACAGTTAATTACGAGGAACTTTGCTACTACACGTGCTATCTGAACACAGTTGTGCAACTTAGTTTTATATAAACAAAGCATTGCATTTTTTTAACTAAAAACAAAATTTTGCTTTGCTATTTTATCAAAAATAATTGCAGAATTGCACGACCCATTTTAAAAATCTTTTTATAAACAAATAATCTACTCAAATTGAAGTATAAACTATGCAATGTGGAATTATTAATAATTAAAAATTTTCAAGAGAATAATATAGTTGATTCTGTAGTAATATTACGCGTTCATTCAGAACCTCATTCATTTCGTTAAAGTGTACAACACATTTCCATTCAGGACGGAACCATCGGTTCAGAATTGATCATTCGACCACTGCCAGAACGGGTTCTACAAGAAGTGGTGAATAAAACGCCAGCACTTCACGAATCCAAATTACTGCCTAATGTTACCAGAAATGAAGGTCTGAAGCACACAAGCCATCACATTGTTTTTAAAAAAGTGGATCAACCTGCCGGCGACGAGTACAACGACTTTTGTGAGTACATTAATATTTTTATTTTTATTACACATTTAAGTGGATATTTTTTAAAAGAGCATGAATCAATTTCCACATCAAACAATTGCTTAACAAACTGACTTCAAAATTGATAAAAAAAAATCTATTATTAAAATAAGATTCGTACGAGTTTTGTAAATCTTGCATAAAGCAGAATGCTACCTTAGAGAATTGCAAATATTTATTAATGTCTTATCGTTCTCTAAATTATACGAAAATTAATCTGAACTGCGTGAAATTTTTATTGCACATTATTTTACAAGTACAAATATTTTAGTGCTTATGGAACCCGACCACTTAGCCAAGAGGTTTAGAATTAAGCGCTCGATCAATAACAGATCGAAGCGTGAAGCACCGTACGTCATTTACCCGGAAATCCTTTGTATTGTGGATTATGATGGGTACAGGTAAATCAACTAATGCATTATTAAAACATTCGCGATATACACAGCTGATCATTATATTTATATTTTCCTCGCGTACGCGGAGATTACGCAAACCTGCATCGGCATTTATAAACGAATGCACCTTCTCGTTCCAGATTGCACGGCGGCGATAACGTGCAGATAAAGAGATACTTCGTGTCCTTTTGGAATGGAGTGGATCTGAGGTATAAATTACTCAAGGGGCCGAAAATACGTATCAGTATAGCGGGGATAATTATTTCACGGGTGAGAGACGATGAACTACAGCACGATTTAAAAAAATTTTTTTTCCAATGTTTCGGAAGCGTCTCTTTTGTACGGATAAATTAAAATGCACTGTATTCAGGGACGAGACGCGACGCCGTACCTAGAAAGGAATCGCGTGGGAAGAGATGCGATCGACTCAGCAGCCGCGCTGACTGACATGGGCAAATATCTTTTCCGGGAGAGGAGACTTCCTGTATACGACATCGCTGTCGCCGTTACAAAGTAAGAGTGTCTGATCCGTAATGCGCATTATATGCGCCACTTTAGACTTGAACGCTAAGTCATGAAAGCGCCTGCAAAAACAACGAATCTCCGATCATTTTTTTTATCTATTATCGTGACAGAAAAATGAGCACTTATTAATTCCACGACGTAATGAGAAAAACGTGATATGCTAATGTATCACAAGAGTATTTTTTTCCTCTTAAATTCCTTAGAAACGTACAGTGATTGCTTTGAATACTCTCGTTTGATTTCTACATGTCTGTTTAACGTAACGATATTATATTCTCGATGGAAAATTTTCTGAAAGTGTGAAAAAATTAATTTTTCTAAAGTTTCTAAGAAGTATTATGCTTTAATTCTCGATAAAAATCTTTGATTTCTCCGTAGAAAGTGTCTTTGTAATTTTTACAAAGTTTTTGCAGCAAAATTCTTTCATCGGGAAGTTTGTTTTAACGCCTTTCATGTGTGATTCTTAAAGCTCAAGACCGCATCGTTTCTTCTATAACCGATAATATTTACTATAATCCTCACGATCTATTCTGATGATTTCATACTCTCGATTTTTATTCCGCAAAACAGGTATGATATGTGCCGTCGTAGGAAAGGCGGCCGCTGCACTAAGGGAACTGCCGGTATGGTTTATTACATAGCGATCACGCATTATTTTTTTTTTTTTCAACGTAATGTATTTTCCATTGTATACAGCATATTCGCTAGCTTGTATATAATTGACGGTATATTGTTGAAGGTGCAGTAATGGTATATATAGCCTAACAGGTACAGTAGCATTGTTGAAGTAGCTCTTGGGAGTCTCGAGGAAGATATTCTCTCTAAACATGCTACGCGCGTATCGTTTAACGGGAACATTTATCAAGTAAGAAATCGTACTGTATAAAAGAAAAATCAATAGCTCGTGATATACACAATTTTAGATAGGAACATCTTCCTCGTGTGACTTTTAACGTGCACTCGTCGACAGAAAAGCTGCCACACTTTTCTCCTCAATGACTATTGGAAGGCGCAGGAATTGGAAAGGTTTGCGATTTTAGCGCGTTTTGAAATTCATCAAACGGAAAGTGTCGCGACGTTTCTGTCGGCCGGCGAGTGAGATTAAGGACTTGCAATCGATTTGCGAGACAATGCACCACAGCTTCTTACGCACACACTCCGAGTGAGGAGTAAATGACGAGTGGGTATGGTACCACTAATCTTAATTCAATTAATAACGCGTGATTCCACGGCCGTGAAAATATCTCGTAAACATCAAATAATTGTCAACCGCGTGATTAATAACATACGTATAATATGGATATCGCATACGGAAACGAGTTTGCACAGATAGATTTGGAGAGCATCGCGGATGATACGTAACATGTACCATCGCGCGTCTCCGGACAGACCAGTCTGACATTTGCATCGAAAAGTCGTAAAACTCGACTCGAATCTTCTATAACTCCTTAAAAATGCGCGTATGTTGATTAGCGCAAAATTATTCACACTGTTGTATAATGTAATTCTACATAAATTGAGCTGGTTTTAATGTAAATACGTATTTTTCTTCTTGATAGATTTATAATATTAGTAATGTCATTAATAATTGTCAATAACAAATTCAAATAATATATGCTATTTTAGAAACTATGTCTACACTTAAAAAATCACTCTTGAGAAATCGCAAGCTACAATTGAAAACTCGTCGAATATTAATTTTTACTTAAGTGAATTTTGTTTGTATGTAACATAACATATATGAATAATACATCGAACTGCTGCTAGTCTTTCAAGCTCTTACATGTTTTACATTATTAATGATTACTATTTTGCCCGAAACTATCATAAATCAATAAATTAAGCAAAACAACAAAAGCTAATCCGTGGAATCTCAATTTATGTAGATTTGCATGATATGACTTGTTAGACGTATGAATAATTTTCGCCAGTCCCTTTTACGATTATGAAAAGTTGCGCCGTTCGAACATGAAATCTCATGTAATAAATCGAAGTCGCGTTTTTAGCATCCACGACAGGTGTTCCGCTGAAGCGCGCGATCGAAAATGCCGGCTGGCAATCTCGCACAAAATTGATTAATCGACTCTGATGCGCGTGCGATGAAAAAGATCACCGCTTAATCGGCGAACATTTATTTACGCACTAGGAACACACAGTGTGTGATTTTTGCTTCTTTTTTTTTAATACGCCACTTTTCCTTATAGTACGCCCCCACTTACATGCTTTCGCAACACGCGTTTTGTTCGAAAAACCACTTTCGGAAAGAAGAGCATCCATTTAGCGCGGAGAATTTGCGACAGAAGTTGAAACCCGTAGATTTCGGTGCGAAGAAAGCTTGAAGCATTAAAAATTAAGTGTTTCTTTTTTGAAACTCGATTTTGAAAATAATTTACATCCCACAAGCAAATGCTTAGCATGCTACGTGTTTCAGGGTGTCTTAATTTGTCCGTTAATTCGCGGTGGTTTTATCGTCATAAATACAAAAATTATTTTCGCGTATCTGCAATACGCCAAAAATCTGATCTTACCGAAATTGTACCGTTTTCGAACTCTGATTAGCAAGATTTGCTTCGCGGGTGTCTGCTTTCGACCACACGCAAATCGGTGGTATTGATTATTGCCGAAAGAATTGAACTTTTATCGCAAAATACAAGACAGTGTTGTGTATTGCACAATTTTCTATCCAGCGATTATCTTCTGGGGAGGATTGATTATCATTAATATTCCAATCTTCTAGAAATCCAGCGAACTCTGCGACTTCAAATCGATTCGTACGTGGTTTGAACTTATCTTGACAGCGCACAATGATTCTATATATTTTGTCATTCATTCTTTATTAGCTTGTGTACGAAAGAAACAACGCGAGCGGATTTTTTCGATAAACTCATAATCCGCTGTCTGATTGTTGTTTCGTCCCGTGACCGGTGTCAGAAATGTCGCCCAGTGTGAATCTACATGATAAAGAGTATTTTTATTATTGTATTGCAGATTAGATATGTGCAGGAGGCAATACGCGAATGATGTGTGCAATAGAGGAACCGCAGGTATGTTTCTTTTCGAACGAGGAGAAAGGAAAATCTTGTTTTAGCTTTCCCAACTTTAAATCTTGCACATGCACACTGCCTTGCAAAAATTTAAATTTCCAGATTTGCAGTTGATATAGTAAATTTTTTTTTAAAAAGGCAACAAATAGATCTAACTAGATGAATAAGAATTTTTTCAAAAGTTGAAAAATAGATCAGAGTTTTATATTCTTTTTTTTTATTGTTATTTTTTTAAACAAGGCAATTATTCGAGACAAGCCTGCTGTTACGTATTTCATTAATATATATGTGTATCTTCTTTCTTCTAATGCCTTGTACTCTCCTCTTCTTACGGTGCTACACGCGCATCATACAAATTGCAATTCGGCAATGAGAATGCGTCAAGCAATTACCTCTTTCGAACTCTGCTGTTCCCTTGCACAGTTGCTTAAACTTACTTCTATATGTGTTATATCTATTGCATATATGTGCTAGGTTTCAATATCTATCACAGTGGCGGACTTAGGTGCACCGTAAAAAATATCCATGCACCTAAAAATCAATTCAGCTAACTTGAAGATAAAATAAAATTAGCACATTCTCGTGGAATAAAATCGCTAATAACAATACCTGAAATAAAGCAGAACGAGATAAAGTAAAATAAAATAATTTTACTTTGTTAAAACGTTAGTAATTACGAATGTCAATTTGTTAATCATATTATCGCACATAAATCGCAAAAATCTAAAAACGTGCTTGTGATAACTTCATTATAATCCGCCACTGTATCTACACTCTCTACTTCCGCATTTATGTACATACTTACTATTGTTTTACAGTCTTGTAAACCGAGATTGTTCTCAAATTATGATAACATATGCGTTTTGCTCGTTGGCGAGAAACATGAAAAGTCACAAAAAGTCAAAAAAAAAAAAAAAAAAAAAAAAAAGTTTCATTTTTTTCTTGTCATTTTTTTCTCGTTTACATCGCCTATGCACTTTGTTCTATATCTCTCTTAAATAATTCACGACTTATGTATCTTCTGTATCTTTGGCTGCGTTATTATCATGGATCGTTGGTCTTTGGTAAGTCTTTGAAATCACATAGCAACTTTAAATACATCGTCGAGGTACATCTTCGAGAGAGCCGTCGATCGATATCGGATCAGGAAGAATCGGGGGGAGGGGGCGGGAGGGGGTGAAAATCCTAATCCGTCGATCGACCGATTCACCCGCACAAACACCTCGAGAACGTAAATTACGTCTGATACTTCGGCTAACTCTCTCATTAACCATTGGGCGGCGAATTATAACGCCGGATGCATGCGCCGCGTATATCGATAACCACATTTATTCAATCGAATTAATATTATTAATTCTTTTAACTCGAAGTACGCAATAATATCTTTAATATCTATGCTAGATGTACGCGCGTCTTCACTCTGAATGCGAATATTACAGTATTCTTCAATTGTACGCGTGATTCAATGACGCTCGGTAAATAAGACGAGTTTACAGTGAAGACGTGCCTTTACATGTTGCTATTCAGGTACTAATAAGACAGCTTGTTTACTAAAATCAATCTTGGCAACGTTAGAAAATTAATGCTCTATTTACATTTTATACTTTGCTGAATGCCGAATGCGTGCTTAAAGAGTCTCTCTTCTGCGTACGCAGGATTCGCGTACGTCGGCGGGGCGTGCGTGGTGAATAAACGTCTCGAGAAGGTGAATTCAGTCGCTATTATCGAAGATACCGGTGGATTCAGCGGTATCATCGTTGCCGCACACGAAGTCGGTCACTTGTAAGTAACGCCAAATTATCTTGCCGCTCTGGTCGCTTGCCGTTTCGTTCACCGCACGCGTTCTGTGTGAATTGAAGATTGGGCGCCGTCCACGATGGTTCGCCGCCGCCCAGCTATTTGGGTGGACCGGGCGCCGAAAAGTGCCGTTGGGAAGACGGATACATCATGAGCGATCTTAGGCACACCGAGAAGGGCTTCAAGTGGTCTCACTGCAGTGTGTCCTCCTTCCATCATTTTTTAAAGTAATTAATCTCCGTGCATTAAAGCTCTGAATTGCACGCCGCTGAACATTTTGATTCCCTTCTTTCTGCAAATAAATAATTCATTTGTTCAAATGTATGACTACCACTTCCTTGATTTCCAGTGGTGATACAGCAACCTGCTTATACAACGCGCCACACGAAGACGAGGCACTGCCCAGAGTGCTTCCCGGAAAACTGTTATCCTTAGACGCGCAATGCCGGAAGGATCGCGGAACAAGCGCTTGTTTCGTACGTCTCGCAGTCTTCGTGCCTGCGTGAAAAATTTTATATTAATTTGTTTAATTATATTCGTCTATTGTTCTTCTTGCTTGCGTATATATGTAAAACGAATAGAATTTCACTTTTTATCTCGTACATCAAATTACTTATGTTACACTTATTACATTTTGATTCACTTACCAAATTATTGATATTTCACATTTGCATACCATTTTAGAAAGACGATCGGGTTTGCGCTCAGCTGTTTTGTTTCGACGCTGGATCCGGATACTGCGTGGCGTATCGTCCGGCAGCCGAAGGCTCGCCTTGCGGGGACGGTCAGGTACAAAAGAAAAGCATTTTTTTTTAGCACATTTCTCCAACGATCGCCTCTGTCAATGCAGAGTTGTAATACAATTTGTGTAAAAACCACGGCTTCCGCAATGGGTGCGCCACGCGTCGCAATTACAGCAGAAGTGATCTCATAAATCTCGGTATATCGGGTGGCGTGCGCGCATTATGTAATGCCACGTCGAGATAATGCCCGGGCATATTTCACCGGGATGTCTTTGCACAGTTGTTAATCGCGAACGTTGATTTTACAGTACTGCCTGAACGGAAAGTGCGTGGTGGAGCACGAGAACATAATACCGGACTACACGCAAAACATTCCGACGTATGTGCGCCGAGACAGCATATTCAATCCTGCGTTGCACAATCGGCCGATATTCGCACAGTACAACAACACAGACTACAGGTAATGGTCCAGCAATTTTTCGGAACAACCTCCCCCCGGAAATGCGAGTAACAAAAACTGCATCACGCGTTGAAGGGATTTCATTAACCCTTCAACTCCACGCGTTATTTTTTTTTTTTTTTATGTAATTTGCATGTAATTTCTTAATCAATTGATCTTTTTAAAATCCGCAGAAAAAAAAGTATTACTAGTAATTTTGAAATATGAAAGAAGAATAAAACTTGTCTCGAATCGAGGACCGAATAACAATCGATCTATTTGACACGATAAAAAGCTGCTGATTTACTCGCCGATGTTGACGCATCGTGAAACTGAATACACCGCAAACACGTGTAATAATGCCATGATAATATGCTACGCAGGTACCCATGGGACTCAACGACACACAGCACGCCGTTATCGAACGTAGTTACGTCGACACCGGCGACGGCGGCGACGACGATAACGACGTCGATAACGACTAATTCTTACAAACGCGTCACACCGTTCTTAAACACGTCCAAGTACACACTGACGACCGTGAATAGCTTATACGATCGATACAAAACTAAATACTATAATAGTAGCAGTAGTGATAATGATAACGATAAGGGAGGCAGTGGTGGTGGCGGCAGCGTCAGCACGACCACCAAAAGAAGCTTCAATTTCTTCAACTCGTACACCGTCGGTACCGCTTCGAAGGTCACTTACGGTCCGAAAGTTAGTCCGTTCAAGTATAAGAGCACGGTCGCCGCGGTGTCGTGGTCCACGACGACCAAAGGATACCAAAACGGCCATCTAAATGACGGCCGCGGTAAGAGAATCCTCAATCAGATCTCTGTATCATCTCGCTACACTCTTCTCTCTACCTTCTCTCCGGCTCGAGGCGAGTCTTTAATTCTGCATGGCCATCCCTTGCCGATAACGTTACGGAAACCCGGCGAGGAAATATACGACGTGCATATTCTTTCCCTTGCATATTTATTTCTCCGGTGAACTCTGTTGCGGAAAAACTTTTCGAGGAACGTTGGTTCCGAAACGTCTCTGTCTACGCTGTTTCTTGATTTTGTTCTTGACCTGTTGATTTCTTCGCGATAATATTCTGTATCTTTATATTTCTGTTTCTTCTATAAAATACTAATGAGATTCAGCAGGAATCGTAGACTGAATTTTCGTCTTGTACAACAATCAATGTTTTCAATAATAATTGTCTCATAATATCGATTGAATTAACAGTAGACATAAGAAAAGTTTAGTTTCTGGTTTAACTGTTTATCTCTCTTTTATATATTTAATGCGGAGTGATCCATCTCGTCGATAAAAATTCGTTACAAACGTAGAATTATTCCGCTATTCTTCACACTCTTCTCTGCTGAATTCACTAGCGAGACAGTGAATGTGTATAATACTTTTATGTGAAATGACGCAAAAATGACGACACAGGACATCGTGGTTTCCATGCGACATGTACTAATAATATTACGTTATTACGCAACACTTAATCACACTACTGTAAACTAATACATACATGACTCCGCTAATCGAGCTGCATAGAGCTTGTTGAAAATCTCGCATTCTGTACGATCAAAAATTTGTCTATTAAATTAGTGCAAAATATTTGTTGCTTCTTATCAGACTTTCTTTTCGAGTAAAATTACTGAAAGGAATTTCTCTTCTGAAAGAAAAGGAGAAACAGACAAAAGCGTATTAACTTTTTTTTTATTTATTAATAAAATGTATGACATTTCGCTCTTTCAATTTTATTTTTACTTTTAAATGTAACAAACCTTTTGCACGAGTTTCCGAACGTCTTACTAACGCCAACTGTTTTCAGGAACAGAGGCCGGTGAATGCACGGATGTGGGGTCAGATTGCGCGGAGCTGATTGACAGGCTGAGAACATGGCTGTGCCATCTACAATCTGTGAAGAGTCGCTGCTGCGCGTCCCTGAAAGCGATTTGTGCTGATTAATAATGACATAAAAAAAGGAAAAAAAAGGTCGGTCCGATAGTTTGGTTCGGTGACGTCGCGCACAAACGCCCGCCACGAATATTATTGTCAAGCGTCATAACGCATCCGGAAAAGCGCCGCAGCGACAAGAGACAAGGGATTCTCCTTGTGCAATCCTTCGCGCGACAAACGCGTTCCATATTTGATCCTCCAAGTAGTTACGTATCTCATACCTCCAGAAAGAAATTGTACAGTAACACGCGGGAGCTTCGCACAACACCACCGAATGTAGTGAATCCGAAAAAGAGCAGAGCGAATTTTTGTCAATCGAGTACAGCATTTCGGCTGCGTTTGTGCTTATGCGATAAGGAACGATCTCGCGAAAGGACTCGTTACGGCACAGGTGCGTCATACGCGTGTTTCGCAAGCGTAAGCGCGCATACGCGCGCATAGAGCCATTTGGAAATCACGGAAATTGTATAGCGCAAGACAATAAATGGGAATGATTAAACTTTCTTTTGTTTCCCGTCATCTATCCATGTATCTATATTTATATGATCTAGGTAATTATTGTAATTTTTATAAATAATATAATTATTAATGTAATCCTGATAAAGAAATGCAAATACAAAAAGAACAGGAGAAAAAAAATGAAAGAGAGATCCAATTTATAATAAATGATGAAAAAACGATGATAGAACATACATTCCAAAGTACCCAACAGCGTGGAAGAACCAAAGCAAAATTATCAGAACAGAAAAAATAGATTAGGAGATGAAAGAACGCAAATTGTGGAAAAATGAAGATAGATGTGCGATATGTAGAACATGTAATAGAGAAACGCGGGAGAGGGAAGGGCGATAAGAGCGGTAATTAGCGGGAGTCGAATTATGTAAAAAACGATAAGAAAGTGACATTAGTCCTTGAGAAATTCTACTGACAAAGTTAAAATGGTGAAATTTAATGGCGAAATCTGTTACATAATATCTGCAGCAAAGTAACTGCAGGCGATAGACTGCGGACGATCGATGATTGATGACGCTGACAGAAACCGTGATGTATACACAATCTCATGTTGCATGCACAGCAACGTGACATTTTTATTCCTACCTTTGTATTTTGATTTATTTGTTG